CTATCAAAATAAACTTAAAAGAAAAAGATGGAGGAGGTGAGGAACTCCAAGGTTTAGGATTTGAGAGAACACAAAAAATAAATGCACCTGCGCCATTGCAAACGGTTTTGAGCCACGTCCTTAAAGGTCCCTGACCATCGATTACTATCATCTTGCGGGTCCCAACCAAGTAGTCGATACCTACCAACATGACTCAATCCACTAGTCACTGCCAAGTTTTGGTGTGGCAGCCCCTAGCTTTCTTCCAACCTATTTCTACACTACACAACATCGATCGACGAGGCAGTCAGTGGTTGGGTATTCGTAACAAATGTTCCAACCACCTCAACTGATGAAGTTTCAATACTTCATGTATTGACCTGCCACCCTTACCTAGGACCCGTTTTCTAACAAAAGCATAGCTTACTCGGTTGTCCCAGGATACACGAGCAATGCTACGAAGACATATACAATTGAATACTAATAACCTACGAATGTCCTATACTTTGACTGGCCATGTTTCACAGCCATAAAGTAGGACGGAGGGAAGTACTGCGCAATAAACTGGTCCTTTAATCAGCAAACGGATATCTCGCTTACGCCATAAGTGACGCAGGTCGGAAAAAGCCAATCGAGCCTTCTGTATCCGTGCTGAGATTTCGTCACACACCAGGTCATCAGCACTGATGAAAATCCCAAGATAAGTGAAGTGGTCAACATGCTCAACTGTCTCATTCCCTATCAATAGTTCAGGTGCCGATGCAACCCAATCTTGAAGCAACATTTTGCATTTCGATGATGAGAATCGCATCTCGAACATGCTTTCATTGTTGCTTAGGGTGGTCAGAAGACACTGCATTTTGTTAGCGTCTTCACCAAATAGAACTACGTTCTCTGCATAATCTAAGCCAAAAAGTGAGTCTCCTAGTAGATGGTCTATTTCTGAAAGTTCAGACGAAGACAATCTTCTAACTAGCAGTATATCTATGACAACATTAAACAAAAATGGGGAAAGTGGACATCCCTGATGGACACCACTTGAAGTAATCAATTCCAATGAACACTTCACCATAAGCTCTAACTTGACCAGTGATGGTGTTCAAGTAGAGAGCTTGCATAAGGTTAATGCACTTCTTTTTGGTACACCTACCTTTTTACTGACAGACACTGCTGTCACAGAACCTCACAATCCACATAGTCAAATAGTAATCTGTTTTTCTTTTTTTTTCAATAAAATAACTTACTATTTTAAACGATCAACAACAATAAAAGCCAAAAAAAAAAGGTTATACAAACTAGTAACACACACCGTAATTTTGTCTCAAAAAAAAACAAAAAAACAAAAGTAGTGCATTCTTATGTGAAGAATGACCTGCAAAAATCTGACCTGTAAATAATTTATACGGACAATTCTGATTAGTAGTAATTATTTTTAGCAATCGAAAAAAAAATAAATAAACCTTAGATTTAATTCAATAATATAAACTTAACATTTTAACATTATATATATATATATATTTATATGAAACTCATACCAGGGGTTTGTTTGTAAAAGAAATTTAATGTCTTTCTGAATGCATTTTGGAGATATATATATTGCGAAACATAACTTTTATTGTGATTTCATGCATTTCTGCAGTAATGGAGAGCAACGCTGTTATTAGGAAATGCGTGCTAGGTAAGAATGGAAGATCAATAGATGAAGTAATGAAACTTCATCAGTTGACGTGGTTGGGACATGTGTTACGTATGCCTAAACCACCGACTGTCTCGACGAGCTATGTTTGGTGGTGTAGGAGTAGGTTGGAAGAAAGTTAGGGGCGGCCAGATCAAAACATGGCAGAAATCCATGAAGTCATTGACGAGTGGACTTAGCCATGTCGGTAATTGTCGACTACCTGGTTGGGGTCCACGAGATGATTATAATCAATGGTTAGAGACCTTGAATGACATGGATCAAAATCGTTCGCAATGGCGCCGGTGCATTTATTGTTTGTGTTCTCTCAAATCCTAATCTTCTGGATTCTTCAACAACTCTAGTTTTGACTTTATAAACTTTTCTCATTGAATCATACTTCTTGAATAATATCTTCTAATCCTAACCTCTCCGATTACTTCTAATACCTTTACTACCTCTTCTACTATTGGATTTGAATTGACAATTATATCTCTGTGCTGATGTGGTATGGCAACATGAACTGATGTACTTACGTACAAAGTTCTACGTTGCATCTGACTGACTGACTGACTGCAGTAATGGAGAGGATTAGGGTTCGAAGATATGATTCGAGAAGTATAATTCAGTACGATAAATTCAGAAGGAGAAAGATAGAGGTGATGAGGAATTCAGAAGGTAAGAATTAGAGAGAACACAAACAGTGGATGCACCTGCACCATTGCAAACGATTCTGAGCCATGTCATTCAAGGTCTCTAACCATCGATTATTATCATCTCGCGGACCCCAACCAGGTAGCCGACAACTAACGACATGGATAAGTCCACTCGTTAATGACTTCATGGATTTGTGCCATGGTTTGGTTTGGCCGCTCTTACCTCTCTTCCAACCTACTCTTCTACACCAAAAAACATAGCTCGTCGAGGCAGTCGGTGGTTAGGCATACGTAACACATGTTCCAACCACCTGAACTGATGAAGTTTCACTACTTCATCTACTGATTTGTCATCCTTACCTAGAACTTGTTTCCTAACGATGATAAACAAATCTAGCAAAACCACAGAATAAGCGTTTAAAAAATGCTAGACATGACTGTAACCATTCTTGACAATAAACCAGAAAAATCAATGCATTTTATAGATGTGTCTTTATGTAGTAAATTCATTCGTCGAACTAATTTTTTGACATTTCATACAATTTTTCTCAATAAAACAAGAAATTTGTGCACTCGATTATGAGCCTTTATTCAAGTGTGAAATTTGGTGACAGTAACTGATTTCCAGAAACGAAATAAATTAGATATACTGAAACATTTAATTGGCACGCATTACAACACAAACTTTATTATTTTCAATGAAATCAACTTAGTTTTGTATCACGTGCATCGTTAACATTTGTTCCAAGTTATTTTCAAAGTGAGATTCATGAACAAAATTACTCTCAGCGGAAATAAAAAGAATTGTAGTTGACTAATTATATCACAACTTATGAAACATAAATAACAGCATCGTATATGCTTTAATTTGGAGTTACGCTATAGCGACTACATTAATATGTGGAGTCTGTGTCCATGAGGTGATAGACTGTTGGTCTGAGAAGTGTTTGAAAGTGCAAGCTACCTACTTCGAATGCTAGACATATATGTAATTACTGATTGCAAACCTTACGGCCATATTGAAGATACTCGTGTTTTATATTTTTTCACCAAAACAGCATCGCGAATTTACAAGGCTCATGAATCTACTTTATTCTTTTTTCAAAATATTTTATGGTCAATCTTTCTAACTAGTACACATATCATCATAAATTCGACTCTTGTTTTAAATATTGCAAAGTTAATCTTGTTGAACTACTGTGATGTAGAAAAGCAGAGTGATCATTTGCGACAGGTTTTACATCACTTATAAATGACCAATACAGACATATCTCAATCAAATCCAGAGAGCAGCTTCTATTAATGATGTAAACATGTTTAAAACACTTCCCTGGAAGTGTGACGTAAGTTCTTGAGGTTAAGTCAATAAGAGAATATATTAGCAACTATTAAATCGGCAGTTCAAACCCTTTTGATAAGTACTAGAACAAAGCCAACCAGACTATCAACAACAGATCTTTACCCTTACTCTAGTTTAATGATAAATGATAAAAACTACGAACCATTGCAAAGTGAACTTAAAACAAACTTCATATCCCCGAGGCGGGAAGGTTTAGGTCACCAACTGCCTATTAGCTGGCAACTAATCGCACTATGCACTGAGCTGCCACAATGCCACTAAATGCCCTGGTAGGTCTGAGAGTCCACTCTCTCACTATCTAAATGCTCTCATATGACCATAGATACATATAGTCACTAACATGGAAGTCCTACTTTATGCCTTCTCACATCAGAGGCGCTGCTCACGAAAATGAAAAGAGGAAAAGCGAGTGCATGATCAGAGCTTAAACCGGATTAGTAGGAATGGAAGATCCACCAAGGTAAGTTGGCAAACCCTCAATCCAAATAAATGGTTCACAAGGGATTCATGATCTTGACAGAACAAATGGCATATGAACCTATTGTTGGTTACTGACTACCAAGGGACTGCATCTCCTGACGTTGCTCCACCGCTTTATGGATTGGACCTCTGGGTCAAAGGCTTGGGGTGTGGCTACTCAAAAAACCACATGCTCATAAATTCAATGATATGTATGGTGCATACATATTTGGGTGCATCATTGTGTCAGTGTTCACGTCTTAAAATAAATAAAACGTCATCAAAATGCAACAAAACGACAGAAAAAACTTAAGAAACGTGGATGAAAATTTACTGCTTACAGTCACTTAGCACGAAATACATGTGTATGCAATCTTAAGGATAAATACTACTTGATACACGAAATTATTGTTTCCGAAGTCTCGGATGCATACAAGTGGCAATTATTGTATAACGTAAGAAGTGGTTTTCAAAATCCTAATGAACACTTGCTCTTAGACTTTCATCACCTTATATTTACTACGAGAATGATGAGATACTGAAACGAGGGAAGATAATTTCGCGAAAAATAAAACATTTCAGTCACGTTTGAAAAAATCAGCAATTGCGTTAACTAACGAGTCATAAAAAAACAGGGTAAGTATCCTACTCCGCACTAGTTACATGAATAGAAGACACGAACTGAAATGGTAAGATGAGAAATGGTGCTAGCTGGAACCCTTATATTATGATTTGTGTGAGTTCAAACCACTACTTTTCCTAAATGTGGAATTTTTTTCTCTACAGAAACTCATAATAAAAGCATGGGAATGAAACTGCCAAATGGATAAAAATTCAAACTACAATTCAAACTTATAAGTATGATACTAACCTGGCCAGTTCACAACAGCCCACAGAAGCGGCCGCATGCAAAGGAGTCCAACCTTCATGATCCTGCAGATTGATATTTGCACCATTGCTGATAAGAAACTTTAGGAAATCAAAGTCAACATTGATACAAGCCTTATAATAAGGAAGATCTGAAAGAAACCACGACATACTAGGTGTGTGCTGGTTAATCCATCTGCATTTTGTGTGTTAATGTCTGTTCCAAGCTTAAGTAGGCGGGAAAATTCATCCAAATCACTGTTACTGCATGCTGCAAGTAGCTGAACAGATAATGGAAACTTGATTTTTTCCGGTTCCCGCATTTTTGATGATGCGTGATCTGTCTCTGAGCCACACCATTCTTTCAACTGCGCCTTTCGTCTTTCACATATATCACTATCAGATAATTTCAACTGCATCATCTTATATGAGTGTTATCCATTGAAGTTTCGAGGCCATCTTAAATGATAACACTTGAACGGTTTGCCTTTCCAAGGTGATATCAAGGTTGAGTAGCGTATATAAAACTCTAAAAATTCAAACTACGTCAGCGAATGGTTCAAATTGTTGTGAGAGCAATTAGAAAATGATCCATTTACCAGGCTTTCACGTCTATTAGTAGTGGATTACTGAAGCATACATGCAGAATTCGAGGTATAATAAACAGGGGAAAATAATTCAGGTTATTTATCTAAGTCACGTGGAATTATGCAGAATGTTAACTGCTAAACAACATAGGTTTTCGAATAAAATTTCATGCTCAACTAAATTTCTGACTGTAAGAGAGGATTATCCAGCTGTTCCAGATAACGGTTTGAATGTCAACATGATATTCGTAGAAAAGCTTTTCTTACATAGAAACAAACGAACTGTGTCATAACAGGCAGTGTGAAAGAATGTACGAAAACTTTCTCTGCGACTAAAGGCAGAAGGCGAAGGCACTGTATGAGTGGGAACCGGCCAGTAGTGATGTATTGCAAAATACAATCTTAGGTCCCCTATGTTGTCTTCTCTTCCAATGAATTAACGAGACTCTCTAAATGGTCTGAAGGACAATAGGCAGCTTGGTTGATCATGATCTCCTTGCTGGGGCAGATAAATTTTCCAGATGGTCCTAAAGCCAGATCTTATAACTAATCCTTAAAAGAATGGTAATATATATCGCTCACAGAAAAGGCTGTCTGATTGCTGCCAACTCTATATCGACCTCACGCGCTCAGAATCAAACACTATAATCGGATAAACTCAGGGTGGGACTCCGTTTTCATCATGATATGTGTGATAAGTAAAATTCCTAATCCGAACATGTGGTACCATTTCCATCGATGAAACTTACAAGGAGAAGCTGAACCATTACTTCGAAACAAGCTGCAAGCAAAAAACAGGTTCACCGACCTGTATCCCTTATTGATGGAAACTGAAGACTGAAAGAAAAAAAGACATCGTTCAACGAATATCTGTGTAGATGCGAACACTACCTCCAGTGTGAACTCCAATATAACATCGACAGGTCGCTCTCACTCAAGAGTTATATACCTGTCCATATGTTTTCAGACGAGTAGATTCGGTACTCAACAGCCTTACAAAAGGTCTTTTCACGTGATCTCTCGTCACGAAAAGACCTTTGTTATGGCGGGCACTTAAAGAAAATTGAATATCTTCTAGAACTGTTTTTTCTGCTAAAGATTCATTATTTTTGGTTGTATACAAAGTAAGCATTTTATTCCTATTATTGTGACGTTGCTCTTATCCTATACTCTTGTTTGAGGCATTAACTGTTGTTATATCATTTCTCATTTATGAACTATAGTTAATTGACTGCTATGCGTTACCCCAGTTCACACTCACTATTACTGTTATTTTGTATTGATGTCAGTTTTCTAGTTGGTTTACGATGCAGTCTGATTTTGCATGTATATAAAGGCATGATTGAAATAATAAATAACGATCGATCTGATCTGATCTGTCTGTCTGACTCATAAGTCGTTGTTTTTCCTCTATTCCGTGGGGCTGGTAATTGAGAGGCTGACGTGTCTGTACAGTGATTGGCGATCATCAAGGTCATTGTATATATTGCACAAACACAAAAACCTCCAAGGTTGATGGACACAGTCAGCATTGATCGTCTCAAACCAGCACACGTCAATGACAGTACCCTACCTGGTCAATCGAAATTCAGTGCTAGACTCGACCAGCAGGATCACTACATCTACTCCGGACCCCAAGCTAGATATATCAGAGACCTCATTCTCATGTCCCAGTCAACAGCACCTACGGATGAGACTCTGGTCACACATCTAGATCAGAAGATTAAGCCGCCCTTGACTTTGAATGGGATTTCAGGCTCACGAGTCACTCACGAGACCACCGTCTCGCGAACGCCTACCTGTACGCTTTCGCGAATAATAGCCCAATCTACAACGGATTCGACATAAGACATTTTCCTCATACTACATGCATGCTACACATTTCTCTTTTTCTCTCATTTTTTTATCCTGAGCCCACGTCTACGACCACCACCTTGTTGGTACCGTCGACTTCAGTTAATCTTGGCGGAGGCTGGCCTGATCACCCACGCTCTTGTCAACGCACTCAGTCGATTATTTGGTTCCAAATATATCTGCCGTACGTATGGTTTCAAACTTGGTCAATATGGTCGTTTCTGGCTCCTTCGCTCAATCTGGTTCCGTCCTATGTCTGTAGGGTTTTCCGGTCCGAACGCCTACGAACGCAATCTTCCGTCTTTGGATACGAGCCATGCTGATGTGGCACGCCAACTCGATGAGTAAACGTGGGACGTTACTATCGGCACAGATCAACGTAGAAGACTTTCGTTGACAATTCGAGCTTCATTGGTCACTTCCTGTTCGTCAACCCTTCCGCACAACAATCGCACGTTGACCTACCAGCCGCCTCCCCTCATGAAACTCCAACGTATCGAAAGTGTAAACCCTTTCTAGGAGGGGCTGTTGTAGAGGAACACTTCTACGAAGGAAACGCAACTAACGAAAAGAAAACATTTATCATTGTACCGGTTTTTTTCAACTGTACTAAAAACACTTACTTGCGCGGAACTTCCTTTTTAGCATTGCTGCCATCCTTCATCACTTGCTGCTCGCTGTAACGCCTGCTTTCTCCTTCAAATACATTCTTTATCCTGGATTTATTTCTTGCTTTGGTGGCGGGATATTAATTAGTATTTGGTGGTGATCACAGTCAATCTCGACACGGTCACCACCAAAAATCTACTAGCTTGAAGTTAACGCAATCACCACTCTTAACACGGTTAGCAAGAGACTTCAGATCCTACAACACCAAGACACTTAGATCTTTCGCAGCCTTGGACCTCTAGAGAGAAAACAGGTGATTTTGCAGCCTGTCTAAGATATACTACTTTACACTTCAAACTGTTGATTGCACGTTTATTGTTGTCAGATCATCCTGAATCTCCTGCTTTTCACCTTCCTTGCAAACTTCTTTCTAATACCTAACACCTCCAGTGAAGAGCAACAAAATAAATGAGATGTTTCGAGTAAAAACATCTAGATGAATCGAAAAAAGAAGAGCTGCTCTTAACGTTACTTGAAGTACCACACTAAGACAGTATCACCATAGAAAGTGAAAAGTTTAATTACTTAGATATAACTTAATCTGGTCTACCAGTGATAACTATGTGTCTGCAAACCTGAGCTTATTATTATGAAATGAATGGTCGACTCTGTTAATCGCTTTTGAGGTGCCAATGTATCTTGCCTCCACTTTTCATTTGCGAACTTTGGTGATTGCACACTTATACACCGCAGTCAGCAGGCTGGTGGTGAAAGAATGGTCTTTCCTGGAAACATGCTTGCAAAGTTAGAGAAAGTTTACGAAGACAATCGGTCACATAAGCCATCGTATTTCAAAAAGTCCGTAACGTCTGACGTTCGGTAAAACTAATGCCTACTGGTAGTGTAAAGGTCCGTTGAACAGGCTTCCTCTAAGAATCAGTGTGAAGTAGCAACTTCTAACTCTCTGGGGCTAAACTCTAGCTAAACTTGAGTGAGAACATTACAGTTAGAGGTCACGACAAGATCAGGACCATTTTTCTCAGTAAAGTGGAGCAAGCCATATTGGGACCATGTAATGTATTGTTGACTATACGTCGCAGTTCCAGATACGCAACGTAAGTGCTTATGTTTACTTATTCTGCAAACGAAGCCCTGGGAGTTGTAAGGGGTACGGGAATTTCGGAAGTTTTGAAAATACTGCTTTTCTAGTAGCTCAGCCAGATTACTGTCCATAACTGTCCCCACCAGTTACCCAATTAATGGATGCAAAGCAAAGGCTTTCTTTTAAGCATCCATTTTTGTACTGGATATGAGCTAAGGGGTCTCTGCAGGCGATCTGAATTAAGCGTCATTAGCTGTCAGACAATTTGACAAACCACCATACTCATCCATCAAGAATGATAAACTTTCGGTTACGTAACCGATGTTCTACCGATCAGGAGCGAAGGAATGTGGCTTCCTCACTTTCCAGACAGGTTTAACTGTCGTAATGAAGCGAAGATATACTGCATACTTCTAGCTCATTGTCCAAAATTCCGTTTTCGGATGCATTCACAGTGCTTCTTCTGCTAAAAACGTTTAACACTCCTACTATGTTGGGTATGTAATGTAACTACGCTTCAGGTAAACCAGGTAATATTAGAGAATCCCCTTTATACTTCAGCGAGTATCTATCTAGTCAAACATCCACTGTCCTGAGTGCTAACAAACTTAACATGGGTTCTTGGATAATTTTATTGTTTCTGTACAGTTGTTTATATATTATACACAGAATTTGTCTTCTCCTTACTTTATTTATTAACTCTCTACCTATTATAACCTTTAAATTACATAACATTTTTGCCTCGGCCAGCACTTCTCATCGCATTATAATGGTTGGCGCTCAACATGATATTAACTTATTTCAGCAACGCGTGTTGGCCAAGACATATCTGCCATTTCGGTTTCAAAGTTTCCTGAGAAAAATTATGGATTCTCATAGTAGTGATGGAAGCACAAAGGATTTTTATCTATCTACCTACATCCTCGATAGACTCCAAAATATATGGGCACCTGTAATGATCTTATTCACTCTAAAAGCATAAGAAAGTTTTCTAAAACGCGTTTCAAAGTCATTCCAGGGTCTTCAGTTCAAAATAACAAAGCAAATGACATAAAGTATCAGCTATTTGTTCATTACAAAACGTGAAACTCGAAAGCAATTTTATGGTGCCAGATTATTTTACTAATAACCTCTAGACCCCTTTGGAATGTTTATGTAAAAAATAATATTCCAGCATCCGGTCTGAATACAGTGCTAACGAATCGAAACTCATTCCATTAGACCAAACAATGTTCTTCTGCATAGTGCATAAATCATCTTCAGCTACCAG